AAAAAAAAAAAAAAAAAAAGAACTTAGCTCTCCTGCATAGGACACAGATCGTATAAATATGGCTTACACCTGCAATGAAATACTATGCAGAGTAGTGGAGATGATGAATATTTTATTTTTCCACATGTAAAGATGTCCAAAACAGCATTGAGGTTTATATATATATAAAACAACATGTCTAGTGGGCACCTTTTTGTAAAAATTATTAATATAATTTCATGATGGTCTAAAGCACAAACATACTTGGAAAGATATATACAAAAATGCTAACCATGGTTCTCCCTAGGAGATAATACTGTGGATAATCCTTGGGTTTTATCTTTTATGGATGTCTTGGATTTTTTTTTTTGCACTTATTATATATTATTTCAATACTCAGAAAACAAAACATTAAAGCCATGGGGTGAGAACCTCAGGAGAGGGAAAAGTGAACCTGTGATGACTCAGGAGTTATCATCATCGAACAAGGTAAAGCTGGAGAAGCAAGCTGCCTGGCAGGTTTGGTCTGCATTAAAAAGAGGGTGTATTGTCCCACTAAGTGAAACTTCTTTTGTTAAGTTAATGGCATGAGCACTGTCAGACCTCACTGTGCATTGGAGGAGGCAAGGTGAGTCATGATTAATAAAAATGGTTTTGTGGTTTATTGTCTATATATTTTATTGATAAGAAGGTAAAAGTGAGCAACCACTGCAGGTGAAAGTTAAATTTCAAATTCTACATCCCATGCTGAAAGAATTTTGCAGAGCAAGAACTCTGGTTAAAAAAAAAAAAAAGTCAAAAAGGAAAGTAGAAACACTTCAAAGAACATAACAAAGATGGCAAAAGGAAGTATAAGTAAACAAACAAGAGCTGAAAATTGTATGCAAAGGAACAGAAAATCTATGCTCATAAAAGAGAAGTTAATGTAATATAAATAAAAACAATAAAATATTATTTTAAGAGGCTGCAAATAAAGAGAGGTAAGAGTTAAAGAAAGGGGCACTGAATGCAAGCTAGCTTAATGATTAAAGGGTATGGGCTTTGGCACAAAATGGGTGTGAGATTAAGTAATGGCTCTGCTACTTAACAGCTCTGCGTCATTTGGAAAGTTACTTGGGTCCTAGCTAACATAAGACAAGAAAAGGAAATAAAATGTATACACACATAGGGAAGAAATAAATAAAACTGTTTTTGTTGGCATATGTCTATGTAGAAAATGCAAAAGAATTTTTAAAAAAGCTCCTAGAATATAATAAGCAAGTATAGCAAGGTTGCAGGACACAGGTTAATATATAATAGTTGCTTTCCAATAAACCAGCAATGAACAAGTGGAATCTGAAATTAAAATCATAATATCATTTACATTAGCACCCCCTAAAAATGAAATACTTAGGTATAAATCTAACAAAATATGTATGAGGAAAAGCACAAAACTATAATGAAAGAAACCAAAGAAAAACTATTCTGTTCATGCATTAGAGGACTCAACATAGAGTTGTCAAGATGTCAGTCCTTCCCAATTTGATCGATTCTAAAGTTTATATGAAAACGCACAATACCT